GAAGCGCTTCTTTGGGCACAGTGGATCGAGGCAGAGATTTTTGCTGTAGCCACTTGTTGCCTTTCAATTATGTCATTAAGTTTTTGGCGCACAGACCTATTCATATTTGTATTTCCTTGGGTGAAGAACAAACTGGAGTACGAATCAAAGCCCTTTGGAGACTACTGGCCATTTGTGTTTGCACAGATGGGCTGCCTTCTGCCCAACATAGCCCAGGTCCAAGTAGAAAAGAAATATATTGTGTTTGTTTATTATTCTCCTTCTAAGAGCAGGGAGAGCTTATACGGAGGGCCAGAGCTGAAAAAAATCTGTGAGTTTCAGCAGTTTGTTCCCTGCCTGACTCTGGCAAGGGTTCCAGTCTGGCCAGTGGCAGGAGAAGCAGCAATGAATACAGTCAATACATACACATACATACACATTTCTCTCTAACCCTGAACAGAAATCAGGGGCTGAAACACAATGTAAGGGTTGTGTAAAGCTGAAGGTTTCAGAAGAGGCCTCTCCAGGTGCAGAAACATTCAGGAGTTTCTAGACAGAAGATCTGGGATTGTGAAAAGGTCAACTATGTTCATTTATACCTTTGTTGGTTTTTTTTCTGTTGTTTTTTTTTTACCAAGTGTCATGGATTTTTATGGTTATGGCTTTTTTTCTTTCTAGGAACTACATTAACTCTAATTACAGCTTACCATATCTCTGTTCATTATTACATATTTGGTGAGCAGAGTGCAGGAAAAACAATGGAGAAATTATTATTCTTTTTAGAGAGGGAATTATTGCGATGGTCGTTAGAAGGGAAATGCGGTATTTTGTCTGTGGAGTTTGTCAGAATGAGGCTGAAGTGAGCAATAATGAGGCTCTTGAAACCTGTCTGCAGGTGTGTAGCAGTGAAATAACAGGCAGGTGCAGAGAGTGAGTCTTTAATCAGAGTTTTGGCAGGGATCTCGTTCATGGTCTGCCGTTTGGCTTATGTGCCAAGGAGAAAATTCTGTAGCAAAAGACCTGGAATACAAAGCGCAACTTCTGTTTGAGCAGAAGTTTCTTTCTTTCATCTACTTTGTTTGTTTGTTTGTTTATTATTTAATTTTCAGTGTACTACCATCTCAGAAAGCTGGAGGCTTGTTCATAATGGCAAGAAGAAATGGCTATGGCTCCTTGTCTTTCTGAAGATAATTGGCTCTAATCTAGAGATAAATGCCTCTGTCAACATTTTCCATAAATACTGCACTGAAAAAAAAATGTTTTCAGACAAATCTGTTTTAGCAACAGTTGTGATTTATTTTGGGCTCCTTACCAGGAAGTAATTGAGCAGGTTAAGTAACCTTTGTGTCGCATTCAGGGACAACGCAAGTTCCAACACAGCACTGGAAAGGAGTGGGGAAAAGGTATTTTTAATACTGCAAAATTTCAGTGTTTTGTTTAATTAGTGTATATCAAATTAGGACAAAGAACAGAAGTATCGACATCTGTGCTCTGGGAGATATGAAGAGGAAATAAGTATACAGCAAGAAAAAAAGCCACCTTGTTTCATGGAGTGTATAGAGGTGAACAAAGCATATGAGTGGTCCAGAACTGCGATTTCCTCAAAGCATCTTAGTGCTCTGAAGATGCGCAGAGAATGACAGAATCACAGGAGTTGGAAGGGGCTTCAAGATACCATCGAGTGCAACCCCTCTGCTAAAGCAGGTTACCCACAATAGGTCACACATGTAGATGTCCAGGCAGGTCTTAAATATCTCCATAGGAGGAGTCTTCACAGCCTCTGTGAGCAGCCTGTTCCAGTGCTCTGTCATCCTTACCGTAAAGAAATTCTCCCACATGTTAGTACAGAACTTCCTGCGTTCAAGTTTTAGGTCATTACTCTTGTCCTGTCACTACGCACCACTGACAAGAGCCCGGCCTCATCCACTTGCCTCCCTCCTTCCTTTACATGTTTATATACATTTATCAAATCCCCCCGCAGTCTTCACTTCCCCAGGCTGAACAGATCTGTGCACCTCTGAATCCTGAGTTGAAGCAGCATTTCTTCCTAACCTCCCTAGAAAAGCTGTCCTGCTCTGTCAGTCTTTCCTATGAAAAATGTTAACCCTCTTTCTTTCTCCTCTCAGTTGCCTCCATTTAACCTGGATAAAATGCCAATTTCAAACAAGAAGCTTTGTTTGAAACTAGGGCACTGAGGAAACAACGATTAGCTCAGACTATATACATTTGTCAGAAATTCAGAACATACTGAAGAAACCTTACCTGTAGCTTGTTTGTCCAGCCAAAACTTACCACCCAAGTTCCATGGCTGAATTTCAGCGAGCGCAGTGCAGATGCACTGGCTGTGGTGAATGCTCAGACAATCACTACTAATAGTTATTACCAATCAGAACAACTTATTTAGTGACTACTCATTTGAAGACAACTGCGAGATACCTGTTGACGATTTATAATGTGAAGAAGGATGAATGGCACTTTTCATTCATTTAGCCAAAACCAAATAGCACATCACAGTCTTCTGCCTTCACAAGTCAAATCTGGAGCCTTTGCAGCAGCAGCAACTTGCTGAACTGAAAAGCCAAAAGCAAAAAATTTGACACTTATATACCACTGCCAGACCTCTTTGGATGCTTGTCATTTGCATCAGTATTTTTTCCATTAGTCCACAAATTCCATAGTTCGTCATTTCCCAATTTCCTAAATCTTGACTATACTGTACTACACTACTTGGTGTCCTGAAAACAGTAGAACTTCTAAACCAGACATTTTCACATCCTTCCCTTCCTCCCTCCCTCTCTTAAGAGTCTTCTGAAGACGGATGTCATTATGCTTTGTGTGTCTTACTGTGTTCAAATAAGAAAGTGGTGTTGCAGTTTCTTGCTTTGGGGAATGAATAGGGCTGAAATCTCCTATCTTGCAAGTCCTGCAAGACCTGAGACTTCCACAGTAGCTGAGAGAGTGCCTTAGCTGGCAAACTGTCAGGTACTCAGGTGTGAACCTCTCTCTCTGCTACATTAAACTTTGAGGAGGGTACGTTGCAAGCTGGGGCAAAATTAATGTGGCTATCTGATCAACAGGAAGATCTATAGCTCTACACTCATCATATAGGCATGAAACTCCCTGCATGCCTTACACAGGGTATTCTTGGAGCTGCTGTGAGTTGGTCTAAGCAACAGGTAGTTCAGACCCCCTACATGTTTAAGCCCAAAGGGCACTGCAGGAATCTTCTGTGTGGTCTAGCATCTTTGACAATATTTGTAGGGGTTATACTTGTCCTGCTAGGTTGTTTGCAGCGAGAGCTGTGTGGTCTTCACAGTGTTCTTTGAAGTTAATGCAGAGTCACGAGGACACAATCGAGGTGAGCTCAGGAAGGCTGATTTCAAGTGAACCTAGAGCATTTGGGAGGATAACAGGTCTCAGTGCTTGCTGTGTACCTTATGCTCAAAATACAGAAAATACATGATAAAATAAAGCTATGCCTGAAAAGTAGTGTGTGAAAATGTTATAGCTGAGATAAATTTTAGCTAGCAAAACAGCTCTGAGGAGCAGGGCAGTAAAAGCTCAGAGTATCTACATTTTAGTTATACCAGGCTGATGTGTCTTAGTATGCTTTTGGGGTAAGCAAGAGAACATGAATATCCAGCAGGGCTGTAGTCTAAAGTCTTGGAATAGTTTGGATTTTTTCATATTCAGCTGGTTAGGGTGGTAGGACAAGACGAAATGATTTCAAACTAAAAGAGGTGAGATTTAGGCTGGATGTAAGGAAAAAGTGTTTTACAATAAGGGTGTGAGGCACTGGCATAGGTTGTGCAGAGATGTGGAAGCCCTTCTAGGTCAGGCAGGGCAGGGCTCTGAGTAACCTGGTGGAGCTGTAGGTGTCCCTGTTTGTTGCAGGGGGGTTGGACGAGATGGCCTTTACAGGGCCTTTCCAACTCAAATGATTCTATGATTCTAGTATGTCTTTCAGGTCCATACTCTGCTCCAGGTTTTCTAGCATTCTAGGTGCACTGGAAAAGTCATTCATCTTCTCAGTGTTCCATATTAGATGAGGATTTCAGCACCACTGTGGGCCAAAACCTGTGAGGTGCTCACAGAAGGTTTATGGGAGCTATGGAAGTTTAAAATACACTGTATCATATAATTTTTTTATTGCTAAGGTGAATGTAACCATCAGTCATACGAGCACTCAATTTCAGTATATAGTAAATGATAACCACTCTACAAAAGAAAACTTCTGGCAGGGTTAACTTATCACTGGTTCTCAGTTATCTCTATTGCTCTATTCTGTTTGTCAGGTGGACCATATCAGATCAGAGTAGTTCCTTGATAAATTTAGGAGTCGGGAAGGTAAATTGAGATGTCCAGTGGAAGGTGAAAAGCATGCATGTAGTACAGGGAGAAGTGCTATTTGCTAGCAAGGGTTGATTTTATCAGCAGAAAGGAAGCAACTTTATTTCAAGAATAGTATTGTAGGGATGCTGGCCCAGCAGTTTCAGACAGAAAAACACTTGAAGGAATTACAGTAGAATGGCAAACTTTCTACAGATAAACAAAAGTAAGACAAAAGTTAGCAGTAGCTGTTGAATTTAGTCTGAGTGCTGTTTAGTTGAAGCTAAGGGGTAGAAACACTTCTGTAGCTACCCCATGCAGATTTGGAGTTGGTTACTGTTCAAGATATATGACTTAAGCTCCATGGCATTTCTGACCAGTGTTTAGGAGTATAGATGTATGAGTGAACATAGAATATTTTCCTCCATTTCTACTTTAATTTGTCTGATAAAAGTCTCTCAAAGGCTGCATCCTCAAAGACTGATACAGAACATACGGTGCAAAAACTACATTTTTTCTTAAGTGCAAAATGAAAGCTTATATTATGGATTACTTTGCATGTAATTATATCAATTATTAATTAAACCTGCTTAATTGATCTTAGCATAAATGCAAAGCCAAGTATAATTATCAGTATTGATGCTGGAACAGTTCCATCACATGCTCTTCATATCTTTGTTTATCTCTTTTAGGTGATCTCAAAGAAAAATACCAAAGGGGAATTCAGGGACCAAAGGTTTACTTTATCAGAGCACTGAGGCTGTAATAGGAAGATAGGAGTAATCACCTCCAAGATTTCTGTCACCTCAATCAACCTTCAAGGGAAAATCATCACAAGAGAGCGTCTGGTATGTCTGATTTAATCCATATTTAGAGAATGGTATATAATTTGTGTGATATTAACACCTTGCAAGCTCTAGCCACAGGTCAGGAATTTGCTGTGATAAATAAGAAATGAAAACAAAAAGCAAGTCCTTTTCTAAAACAAACAAACAAACAAGCCATTCCAAGGGGGTGGTGTCTTATCTAGGTTGTTTTGGGCATGTTTGTTGCACTGCATGATTACATAAGTTCATGAGATGTGCCGTTGACCTAATCTTTGCAGGGAACTGGAAGCTCTGGAAATTGAGATAATCCTAGATTTTTTTCTGAGAATTAGGAGACTTGGAGAATGTACATGTCATTATGTATTTAAGTGGTTTGAGTAATATATAGCGGTCATTAGGTCAAGAGATGATGATTAGAAAGAATCTGTCTTAATTATGCTCTTGACAGTGTGTACTAAACACTGTAATGTGATACATTCTCATTGTGGACCCTAGTATGATAACTGTTAATCTGTAGATTTAGTTCGTTTTCATCTGTTTATTTAATTTTGTTGGAAGAGATTGGAAAGCTTTCAGAAAGGTAAACGCGACTGGTGTTCTATGAGCTTTGCAAGCTTGGCCATGTTGATGTGGTGTTATACTGGAGCACGTTAGGGAATACAGTCCCTCCTAAACTGCAGAGTTCAGAGCTTAGCTGCTGTGCCTCTGTCACTGTTCGTCTAAAATAGAACATGAGCTAATCCAAGTTGTGGCCAGCACCAGCAGAGAGGGAAAAGGCAGTTCAAAGTATCAGTGCTGCTGAAGCATTATCTGTGATTGTACACTGCATTGCCTGTACTAGCCATCTGAAACAGATGTCTACTTGTATCTACTTGTAACAACCTCACTATGTTGTTAGTGAGGTTGCCGTGGAAGCATGCTTACTGCACAGTTGGCTGGGTATTGCACATCTGGTCAAGGTCTTGAGATTTTTTTTCTCTTTTGCCCGGTTTGGGACTTCAGAAGCATACACTCATATTAAGCCCAGGGCTGTCTTTGTTCCGTGAGGCTGCCCCAGCTGGAACCTGTTGCTGGTTGACACAGTAAGATCTTGTGTTGAGACTGTTATATTCTTTGGCATATTACACTGCATTTACATCTTTTAATTCACCCCAGCAAACAGATGGGTTGTTTTAAGAACCATGTGTAAGAGCTTTCATTAAAACCATTAAATGACACCAGATGGGGATGCAGAATACTGCAACAGGGCTGCTTTCTACCATGTTGGACTTTTTGAGACATATTTGGAGGTGGAAGCTCTTGTTGCCACTATACTTCTTTTCTGTTCTGTCCTAAACTGTGCCTGCCTGCATTGTGGTGACACAAACATTTCTGGCAAATACACTCACTATGGCAAATATGATTTTGGTAGATATTTTTTACAACAAAGAAATGTCTAAATAATTTGAAACTGAATGGTTTGGGTTTTTTTTTTTTTTCTCATAAAGGTTCATTCTCAATTTTTGCCTTTAAGCAAAAAAAACCCAAGCAAACAAAAAATAACTTTGCTGAGGATATTAATTGCCAGAGTAACATATGAAACAGTGCTCATTAAAGTGCCTCTGAGGTATTCTCAGGTGTCCTAGCTATACTAGCACCTTAAGTATACTAGTGTCTAGAGAGTATGCCAATGGCTTTAGAAAGATAAGAGGGATAAGTTTCAGTAAGAAAGTAGATTAGTGGATCTAATGAATCTTGACCTCTTTGGTTCAGATATTTAACTGAAACTGATTTAAAAAATTTGTTTTTGATTTGGGCTGGAAGTCTTGTGAAATAGATCCTTCTATTGGGAGTTTCTTCAGCCACTTCAGTTCCTGGGGGTGAAAATATCTTCCTGATGGTATGACAGTTGTTGGGTTCTTCTTATTTATGCATCTAGCATCTGCTGGAGTGACTACAATACTGAATAAAAACTTCACTGTATTTATTACAGTATACTTACATTGAACAACAGAATTCCTAAACAATGATATTTTAGAGCTGTTGGAGGTCAGTTTTTTCAAAGTTTTACCTAAAATTTAGGACACATTTACAAATATGGAAACAGTTCATTTTTGTCAGATACCAGTTTATCTTTCAGGTAAATACACAATGTTTTACTTCAGTGTTATAAAAAGATGATATGTAATCATTTGTTATGAAATTCTTATCTGAAAAACTGCCTAAATTTAAAGAGATTTTAGAAGAGTTAAGTAATGTGAAAGGAAACTGAATAGGGCAATTGAGGCCATGAATGAACATGAATTTATTTTAGTATTTTCTGAGGAGAAAGCATACTGCAGTTTGGTTTAACAATGGAACCCCTGAAATCTGCTTTACCCAGGGATAGCACAGCAGTATTTTGCCATATATACAAAAACAATTTGCTTCAGATTCTTATATAACTTTATAGTAGAAAGCTTCATTAAATCTTATTTCCATTTATTGTAATGGATAACACAACCGCTTGTTTATGCTGAATTCTTCAGATTCTATAAAGAAACACTTTTCTAGCTGAGAAAAATTAAGAACTATTTCACATCCCTATCAAAAATTAAAATTTAGTAGTTCAGCATTTAGTGAAACTGGAATTCTGTGAATTTCTTTAGCTGAAAGTCTGTTCTTGGAATAGGGATCAAATATATTCTTTGAATGAAATATGCTGGATTTGTTTTTTGATATGACTGCAAAGTGATTCATTTTCAATCCTGTGATAACTCAGCTGTAATTAGCCATATGAATCAAGGGGCATGAAATGTTTTGAGGCAGTTGGTGAGTCTGATTGACTCAGTCTTTCCTATGAGTCTGGTTCACTGGCTGGTCGTTCCCCTGCGTACCTACACTCAGCTGATTCTCCTGATACCTCATTTCAGACTAAAGGTCCCTGTGTAACCTCATGGGAGGCAAACTGCTCTGTAGATTCCAGTCTGGTACAAAGAGAAGTATTTAAATACCTTTTGGTTCTATTTCTATATTTTTATAAGTCAATACTTCTAGGTTTTAGCTTTAAATGAAAATCCTTAATGCATTTCAGAAACATATAGTACTGAACCATGCACTCTTTTCCAAAGCTAAAATTCAGCTCTAGGTGTCACCTATTTCATCCATCAGCATATTTGAACAGTTTTGTGACTCTAAATTCTCTCTGTTTGCTTCACTACCTGAAATTCCTGTCTTCAGACTAGTTCTGATAGTGTGGACTGAGAGTCCCAGCAACTTTTCTCTCCAAGAGCACATCAGAGTAGATTTGCATCATATAAGCATGCATGTAAACACAAAGACCAGCACTCAAGCCTTACCTTCTGGTGAACTCTGCCGTTTACTAATTTATCCTGTTCAAAGTTTTCTCTTGCGTTTCCCTTCTTCTGAGATTTCTTCCCTTAAAATCTGTATGGCCTGGCTTCTAGTTCACAACTGGAGCAATTTCTAGTACAGCAGTTTCACTTTGAGCTTTGAATAAAAACCGGCAGAAAAGTCCCACAGATTCCTTGAACCCTGTTGTAGGAAGGAAAGAGGAATACTGCAGGTGTTGAGCTAATGTTACCAAGCTACCTTAAGCAAGAGAAGATACTGATAAGAGAAAGCACTGTATTTATGCTTTCTGGCATATGAAATAGTGCAAGTCCTGTTTGAATGCTTCAGAAATTAGTATCAGATGACTTAGGAACCTCTGGCATATTTGAATCTTAAGTGGTTACAGAAAGTTTTGCTCAGGTTTTCGTTCAGTAGTTGTATGAGTTGCTGTTTATTTGAAGGCAGGTTGGTGAAGTTTATGAATTCTCAGGAGAGTGGAAAAAATCCTGCTCTCACTGAGACTGAATGGCAACAGGGAGGCAGAGCTTTTCTGAGGTCAGCGTGTGTCTAGCTGTGTAGAAAGATTTGTCTGTTTGAGTGTTCAGTCTAGCATTGCTGTTATTTTACAAATACATGAGCATGGTCTTGCTGCTGCTATGCAGACATCTGGCAAGGCAGAGGGTCAGCTTCAAATTAACATAGTTTTTGTCTTCAAATGTGGGTTATTGCATGAAGCATGTAAACGAAAACTTTATAAATGATGGAGAAAACAAAAAAGGTAAAGTTTAAGGCATTGCTGTCATCAGAGCGCCAAGAAAAATGTGGTGCAGAGATGTCTCAACAGCTCAGAGAGTAGGTTTCCATGCTTTGCTGTTGTTTGTTTGTTTGTTTTCTAATTTGCCTGCATCTAGCCTGATTGCAAAGCCCATGCCTTGATGGGCAAGCAATGCAGTGGGGACCACTGGCCTCCAGATGGGGCAGAGGAGCCTTCTGAGCTGCCCGCCCTGTGGCCTCACCAGGCTCCCACTGTTTCCAACCCTGGCTTTGGTAAAGGATGCTCTTCTACCTGATCCTCACTGTTATGGATTGGGTCAGTTGTAAGAAAAGCAGTACTTTTAAATCTCCTTCAGGTCTCTTGAATCCTAGGGGAATAGTAACTCATTGGGGTGGTTGGAGCTTGAGAGGGACTTGGAGTTTTATTTCTGTAGTTCCCTGGCAGTATCTTTTACCCTTGGGACAGGATGAGTAGGAGTTCCATGTACAACAGGAGTCAGCAATCCTCTTCTACACAAACCACCCAGGCCAGAAGGCCTCCATCCACACTAGTTCTCTGGAGCAACTCACTTGTCATTCAGGGAATCTCTAACATAAGAAAGAGACCAGCTAAATGGTTTTCTTACTCACAGACTCTCCTGGCTGCATTGTTAGCATTTCCACTGATCAAAAAAACAGACGCAAAGGTGAATACAAGTAAACAAGTGAATAAATCTTTGCATTTAGAAATAATGATGGCTGGGGAAGTCCCCCTCCATTCATAATTATCAACCCTAACTTTTTCTACTCTGTGGGAATGAAGATCTCGTTCTCCTAAAAATTGTTAGCATATGTAATTTTTCCATACATCTCTTCTTCTTTTACTCTAAGTACAAGTCTTACGTGTGGTAAAATTAGTTGTATTTTCTTAAGTATTTCAACTTATCTGGTTTCCA